GGGCTGTTAAGGCTCTGTAGCGGGGGGGACTGGGGCAGTAATGGGGTGGGGGGGTTAAGGCACCCCAGAAGGGCCCCCCCAGCAAGCCCCCCCAAGCAACATACAGCACCGTGCGCTCCGTCATCCATCCCCTTCGCCCAGCAGAGTGGCCACCTCCCGGCGCAGCTCTTGGGCCCGGGCCTGGGCTTCAGGCTGGGCCCCGCCGTGGCCTCCCCAGGGTCCTCCAGGGCGGCCAGAACAGAGCACCGGGTGTCGGCGTAGACTTGCAGGAGCCGTTTCGCCCCACACCAGGGGTCCTCGAGCACGTTGGCCACCAGCTTGGCCGCCTCCTTGTCCAGCAGGTTGTCGCACAGCCTGGGGGGAGAGCACGGGCAGGTGGGGAACCCAGGTGTCTGGGCCCCGCCGTGGCCTCCCCAGGGTCCTCCAGGGCGGCCAGAACAGAGCACCGGGTGTCGGCGTAGACTTGCAGGAGCCGTTTCGCCCCACACCAGGGGTCCTCGAGCACGTTGGCCACCAGCTTGGCCGCCTCCTTGTCCAGCAGGTTGTCGCACAGCCTGGGGGGAGAGCACGGGCAGGTGGGGAACCCAGGTGTTGGGGCTGCACCCCCTCCCAGAACCCAGCAGACCAGGCCCCTTCTGGACAGCCCTCCTGGACACTGGGCGTCCCCCACCCCACACTCACTGCAGCTTGCGGCAGCGGGGCAGTGGCAACGGGGCAGCAGCCCCTGTAGCAGGCGCAGCGCCCGGGTGCCCAGGCTGCTGTAGCTGAGGTTGGGATTGCACAGCTCCTGGTGCCCCAGCGCCTGGGCCAGGGCAGCACAATCAGCAGGGCCCAGTGCTGTCTTGAAGAGGTCCACCTGGGCCAGGCCCGTGGCCTAGCCAAGCTCCACCATCCCATGGAGCAGCCCCAGCAGGCATGGCCCTGCCGCCCCCTCCAGTGCCACCTCCGGCCAGGCCTCAGCCTCGGTCACAGCCTCGGGATCCCCACCCACGGGTCCGGCCAGCCCTGCCAGCCGCTCCTCAGCCTGGGTGCCCAGCAGGCCCAGGAAGAAGTGGGCAAAGAGCTGCAAGGGCTCCCAGCATAGCGCTGCGGTGCTCGTGGCAGCCAGCAGGGCCCGCGTGGTCTCCAGGAGGCTGCGGGCAGCCGGGTCCCTGGAGTCATCCCACAGAGTCTTGGACTCGGGGGGAGACCACGGGCATCCTCCAATTCATCCCTCGTGGACCCTATAGATGCCCCATTGGACTCTGGGGGCCACGTGCAGCCGGTGCAGAAGACGCCGAGTCATCCCCCGTGGCTGTAGCAGACCCCGGCAGGGGCTGCCTGGGAGATGCCAAGTTGTCCCCATCCCCAGCATCCTGGGTCCCGCTGCCACCATGACCCCACCACAGCTCCAGGCAGGTGCACAGCTCCGCAGGTCACAGCGTGGCGATGGCGAAGACGGCAGCCACGAACTCCTGCACTGTGGGGTGAAAGAACTCAACCGCACCATTGTCCTTGGGGGCCAGGAGGCACCGCAGTGGCGAGCTCCCTGGGACACCACGGAGCTCAGCCTTGGCGAACAAGATGCGGCCCGCCAGCGCAAGCAGCTGCGCCCAGAGCTGTGGCGCCGGCTGGGGCCCCAGCAGTGCGGCCACATAGGCGGCATAGACCTCGGTGACTGTGGTGGGCGCAGGTACGGGCAGTGCATCCTGCCACCAGCGGTCCAGCACGGAGCAGAGCATGTGGCAATAGAGGGGCACGAAGCACAGCCCAGCCAGGCCCAGGGGGGCCTTTAGGTGCCGTGCGACAGCTGCCACAGGCTCCTCACAGCCAGGGAAGAAGCAGCATACATAGTCATCGGTGTCCTCTGCCAGCCCCAGCAGCAGGACGTGGTGCTGGAAGATGACACTGGGCAGTGCCAGGCAGGGCTGCGATGTCACCACCATGGCTGCACCGGGCAGCAGGGTCCCAGCCATGAGGTCCTACACCAGGGCCCTGATGGAAGATGCCCTGGCTGGAGATGCTGTGGCTGGAGATGGCACGGCAGACCCTTGAGATGACACCTGGAAACCACATGCGGCTGGTGCAGGAGACACCAAATGGTCCCCTGTGGCCGGAGACGCCGCAGTGGCCCCTATGGCCAGGCCACGAGCTGCCCCAGGAACCCCAACTTGAAGCTCATCAAAGCCGTCCAGGATCACCATGAGGTCGCGGGGCTGGGCCAGCAAGGCAGGCAGGATTGAGGCCACATGGGGGTGCTGGGAGCCCACGAGCCCCTTGAGGACCACGGGCCCGGGCTCCCGTGCCAGGTCACGGGCAGCGAAGTTGAGGGCACAGAGGAAGCTGCGGAAAGCGGCGCCCAGCACCCACTCGTGCAGCAGCTTCTGCGCCAGGACACTCTTGCCCACACCAGCCACGCCGGTCACGGCCACACTCTGCGGGCCCCCTGCAGCACCACCTGGCTCTGGGGACAGGAGCTGGGCCAGGGGCAGGTAGTGCAGGGCTGGGGGCAGGTGGGCACGAGGGGCAGCCAGCACCACATGCTCGTGGCCTCAGGGGTCCGGGGGCTGCTGCAGCAGGAGCTGGGGCGTGTAGAGGATCTTGAGGGGACCCTGGCAGCCTGGGGGGGGCTGGGCAGGGGGCACAGGCAGGACATGCGCTGGAGCACAGAGGCACGGTGGCACTGGAGGGCGGCTGGGGGAGCAGAGGGGCATGATGAGAGACCCCAGACATCCACGCTCCCCTAACCCCCCATATTATCCGTGTGCCCTCCCCCTCCACCAACCCCTTCCCTCGTACCTTTGATTTGGGGGCTTCACGGAAGCTGGGGTTCTGTCTGGGGGTCTTGCCTGGCAGCCCAGGGGGAGATGGGAGTTAGGCTGCGCCCCTGGCTCTACCCCCACTCCCCGCACAGAAAACCCAGGTATTTGGGCAGCACAGGGTGGGGAGGGGGTCTCACCGGGGGTCTCCAGTGGGAGCTTGTATTTCTTGGTCACCTTGCAGAGCGGCTTGTGGAGGAGGGAGGGAGCGCAGCGGGCTGTGGAGGGAGGGAGGGAGGGATCGCTGTAGGGATGCATGAGTGGATGGATGGATGAGTGAAGTTGGAGATAGAGGGATGGTAAGGTTACAGGGACGAACATGGAGATGGATGAACGGGTGGATGGAGGGATGAAGGGTTGGAGGGATGGGGGATGGTTGGATGAGGGATGGATCTAGAGTTAGAAGGTTATAGGGATAGGTGGATGGAGATGGAGATGGAGATAAGGATATAGGGATGGGGGATGGTTGGATGATGCATGGTTGGATGGAGGGATGCTTAGAAGGTTTTAGGGATGGATGGACACGGAGATGGACGAGTGGGTGGATGGAGGGCGGACAGAAGGTTATAGAGATGGGTGATGGGTGGGTGGGTGAGGGATGACAGGGGCTCAGGGGGCATGGGCGAGGGCTGTGACTGTACCTGCAGGTGCGGTGGGCTGGGTGCAGACGGGCGTGGGCACCGCAGGGCCAGGGGTGCCCAGGTGCCAGTGCAGCCAGTCTCCGAGCTCGGGGCCATAGTGGTCGCGAAGGGCCTCCAGGGCATCCAGTAGGGCGCGGGCATGCCGGGGCTGCTGCCTGGCTGCCTCCAACAGTGCCAGGGCCCAGTGGGCGCGGGGCGCCATGTCCAGCAGTGTGTGGTACTCAGCCCGATGCAGCGCCTGCCCCCGCGTCGTGCAGCTGCCGCAGCACGGGTCCCACATCGGGCCCGATCCAGCCCAGCAGCGCCTCCTGGTGCCCCCGCACCAGCCCCGCCGGGTCGGGGGGCACCTGCGGGGATGGGACCTGGGCGTCCGGGTGGGTCCTGGCTACTCCAGTCGCCTCCCGGGGCCCTGGGAGAAGGTGAGGGCCGGCTGGGTGTACTCGCCACGTTTGCAGGGTCAGTGGGGACCAGGCTCCCTCGCTCTCCTGCCATCCCCGCCCAGAGCTGGAGGGGATCCACCGCCCGGCCCACGCGGGCAGCCCCTACCTGGCCCATCGCAGCCATGCTGCTGGGAGTTAACCGGGGGCAGCCCCACCCCGCAGGTGTGGGGGGGGCACACACCTGGGCTCTGCCCCAGCGACCGGGCACTGCGGGGAAGAGCCACTCCCCACTCCCCCGTGGGCCTCATCCTGCCCCGGGGGTGGGGGGCATCGCCGTGGTAACCTGCAAGGGGCAGATCAGGGCAGCTAGGGCAGGCTGGGGTCTAGGTGGGGGGCACCAAGGGCAGG